AGAACAACAAGCAAAGCAAAACTGATCAACTTTCCTTAATTTAAACTATCTTCCTACATTCATCCGTCAATGGCTCAAAGTCGATACCACACAGGCACCGCATATAAGATTTTTGGCAGGATGGCTCCTAGATAAATGATTTTAAGAATCTCCGATCTTAGACCACAAGAAACCCACCCTTGCTGCTAATATCAGTCTCTTTTTAGTGTGTATTGCCTGATTGTAAACGTTGACTATGTGTCTATTCCAGTTCATTTTTCGGTCATAAAGTACGCCTAAATATTTTAATGCGTCACATTTTTTTATTTGTGAAAAATTAATCTCATACTTAAATTTGGTATAGTATGTTTTCGTGAAAAAGTTATAAATTCTGTTTATTATAGTTCGCCCACCTCCAATTGTGAACAAGTTTTTCTTTTTTTTTTTAAAAGGCTATTCGGAGTTTTCCCGGGCCAGGGAGTGTGGGCGGGGATTTAAAAGACTCCCTCGGCACCGGGACGCGAATTCGTGACTATTTTTAGTCGCGATTCATATGTCAGGTTGCCAGGCAACGGCGGTGCAATGCACACGCTTTTGCCCATTCGGCCACCCCGCCCACAAAAACACTCCCTCGGCACCGGGACGCGAACTCGTTACTAATTTTATATCTTTGATTCAAATGTCAGGTTGCCAGGCAACGGCGGTGAAGTGCACACGCTTTAACCCATTCGGCCACCCCGCCCACTAAGTCAGTATCATATGCTATCTATTGTCGAAATAATTTTGAATTGTATGATAAAGATTCTTTCACAGTGAAAGAAGAAACGATCTATTGCTTTCGCTGTACCAATGGTTTGGCAGGAGCCTACAAACCATACAGATGGCTGCTATTTCTGCTTGACTCCACCTATAAAGGCAGGATTTTCTCTGAAGAAAAGAAGAACAGTTCAGTACCCGAATCTTCGATCTGCTATTCGACCCATTCTGCATTCAGATAGTTTACCAGTTCCTACTCCACCCTAAAATTGTGTTTGAAGTAGCATATGAAGACAGTGTCCCGTAATCCTGATTTTGAGGGAAAAGATGATAAACCGCACAGACTGAGTCAAGCTGAATTGAGGGATCTCATTAGAGACATTGGCCTGTCAAAGGAGAAGGCAGAAATTCTTGGGTTTCGACTACAAAAATGGAATCTTCTCGAAAGTGATGTCAGAATTTCACAGTACAGAAAACGTCACAAAGACTGCTTTCCTTTTTTGAGAAGAAAAATAATCTTGTTGTTTGCTGCGACATTAATGGCTTGATAAAATCTTTGAATTTGAATCATGATCCAACTGAATGGAGGCTATTCATAGACTCCTCCAAGCTTAGTTTGAAAGCTGTGTTACTTCACAATGGCAACCTTCTTACTTCTATTCTTGATGGTCATGCAGTTCCCATGAAGGAGACATATGCAAATATGACAACCCTCTTGGACTCAGTCAGATATCATGAACACAAATGGAAAATCGGTTATGATCTATAAGTCATTGCCATACTCTTGGGAACTGGAGTAAGCAAAATATTGCTGCTTCTTATGTATGCGGAGCAGTAGACATTGAAAATTGCATTATATTAAAGGAGACTGGCCTGCAAGAAATCTTAACCCCAGCGAGAAAATTGTCGTCGCCAAGCCTCTCGTGGACCCAAAAGATATTCTACTTCCACCCCTCTTTATCAAGCTGGGTTTTATGAAAAATTTTGTCAAATGTATGAACCAACAAGGACGGACCTTTAAGTTCATAAGAGAGAGATTTACGAAATTGAGTGATACAAAAGTTAAGGAAGGCATTTTTGTTGGATCACAAATTCGATTACTTGTGAAGGATCCTGCATTTGGCCACGTTTTGGAAGGGAAAGAAAAGGAAGCTTGGGAAATCTTCAAGGTGTTGTTCGTCGATTTTTGGGCAACAAAAGAGATGACAACTACACCCATTTGGTGACAGTGCTCCTGCAAAAGTACCATGACCTTGGATGCAACATGTCCCTTAAAATCCATTTTCCCCACTCCCATCTAGACTTTTCCCCTCCTAGTTGTGGAGCTGTTAGTGATGAACATGGAGAAATATTCCATGAGTACATTTCTGTTATGGAATGCATTTTCAATGTTGTTAGCATATATAATTAAAATGTATCTTTTTCTATTGACCCGTAAATATGCAATACTTCCTACTGGTGTATATCACAGAAACTAGAGCTAAGAAAAAAATTTCATTGTCATGTTCGTTTTTCTCAACCCAAAATTAATGAGAATTGACTCATGGAGTGCTGGAAATATTAAAGAAAAATTTTTTTTGCCCAGTGTAATGTAACGGAGTACTTTATCTTTAACGGAGGGGAACATGTTTTTTCACTTGCTTACTTACCGACAAGATCTTGTTATTTTATTATTAATGGTCATCTTACTCTATGATGATATTTCATTACCTTATTGCCTGTTTCAAATTAGGTATATTGCTGTTTATATCTCAGTAAATAAAAGCATAAAACAGGGCCGATATCAAGAAAATTCATAATTGGCTATAGATGTGGAGATTAGTTCTTCATCGAATGCAGAACAGACCATGAAAAGTCTCCTCATTTTAAATGTCAGTTTCTATCCAAAATGGAAAGATGACCACCTAGCAATTTCTGTCTTATTTTATGTTTTCCCTCATATATCAGTCAAAAACCATTGTTCTTGAATTCTGGAAGTACTAATATAGTCGACAAGAATTATTGTCTTGAATTTGATCGAAGCACATCCGATAAAAAAATATTATAAACGAACTATAAATTGATCAATTTGGCGTATAAAAGCGAAATTTTATGGATTCTCATTATGCCGCCCATCATAACTTTGAAATTATTGACAAATTGGAAATGATGTTTTATATGATTTTTATAGTCCTAATTAGGTTTTTTTAATATTTCATGAAAATGGGAAAGATATTTTGTTTTTCAATAAAAAAGTCGTAATCTCAAAGCTGGATTTCATCGCGGACTATTCGGACTGGATAGGTTGTTATGAGTGTTTCTAAGTTCTGTCATGAGAAAATAATCTCACTTCTGTGACTTGAACTTGGCATTAAATGTTTCTCTACTGATCATTATATCTGCCTTATCAATTTGATGAATTTGAACTTAAGCTACATATGGCAAACTCATCACCAAATGTGGTTAAGTTAAAAGACATTACCTCTCTTCTATGTAAATATTGAATAACAAAGGAGATTAAAGCTCATGGTTCACAAAATTTTCCTCTACACGAGATAGATTTTATATTCGAGTTATGGTTTCCAGGACAGTCAGAGATTCCATTTTAAGTTAAAAATAAAACTTCAAATATCGTGGAAAACTACCAGAAAAACAAATATCTATATCTGAAAATGTCAACACTGCATATGATGACCAAATAGTAGAACGAAAACTTAGGCTCCACAAGTGGAAGGAGACTACTAACAAAAATATCTAGGAACAAAGCTGGCCTTCCTTTATAACAGCTTAAGCTTCACCGAAATTTCAGGTTCATTCTGAAGTTCCTTCTGAACTCACATCCATTGATCTCCTTGACCTCTCTTCCTTTGTCTCATGTTTTGTCATTATCCATGTTTCTAATCACACTTACTGTGAGATGGTAAAGTGCCGTGTTAGCTGACCTAAAAAGTGAGATGATGTTAAGCTTCTGAAGCTTATCCAATCTAGAAAAGGAAGTCAGTATGTGAGATGGCTTTGGTAGGGCAGTCATCCCATGGCTCAATTTAGTCCCTCCCCTCCCCCAAAATTATTGTTGCCAAAATGCAATCAATTTAAACACTGTTAATTTTTCTATTAGAATATTAATTGATAAGATCTAGAGAATAAACGTTGATTTTGATTTGTTCTATGACACTGATTGTTTGAATTGAATTGTTGTTTTAGCCATCCAACACTCCTCTGATCAGGATTGTGGTAAGCTAAACAAAAATTCTTTTCACTCTAGGCATTATATCTTCGAGGTATATCACTAACTAAACTTTTTTAAAAATAAATTCGTAGCGAAATTCATCGAGACATACTTTAGAGAGAGATAATGTTATGAAAGTATGTTACAGCATAGTAAATGTATAGCACTTATTATCTTAAGACATATTTTAGCGTTTTGTTTTTTGTATGTAAGTGCTTTATTGAAAATATCAACAATTTTTTTGTTTTTCTTTTGGACCTTTATCCATTATTAAAATAAGAGCTCTCCCCTCCTCTCTACCCATTTCATATTAATCAACAAAAATATCATTTGCTAAAATAAATGACAAAAAACAAACATTGTTCACTTAAATTTTATTTTTTTACGTGCTTATAATTTAAATTTTTCTAATCTAGGCAATAAGCTATAGTAATAATTAAGATCTTAGTTTAATGTTTTTGAACAAAACTGATTTTTTTTTTATAATTTGTTTAAACTGACATTACATCGCTGATTTTTCAAATTTTTGGGTGAAAGATATATATAAAACTTCCATATTTTCATCTGTATTTTTTAAAACATACAATCACAGTTATGTTTTAGAGCACTATTACCTATTTGCGGAAAGATATTATTCTTGTTAATGAATAAGCAAAGATTTTATCTTATGCAAACAGTTAATACAGAAACTATCAAAAATGTAAAAACACAATCAATTTTTCATTTTAATTTTATACGTTTTTGGAACAGACTATTTAAATATTCAAACTGCACCAAGAAAAATTATACTTTCATGAGTGATAATGAAATGACATTTTAAATCCTAAATGTTATTAAGAATTTAAAATGAATGAAAATAAAACAAAATGCCACAAACAGTTGATTTAATCCAAAAATTAATGAATCTACAAAATTCCAAAAGCAGTTTCTGATATAATTCCTATTAAAATAATGCTTTAAAGCAATTACCCCTCATTATATCAATACATTAATATTATTATATTCTGCAGTTTATTTACATTGGTTCTATTACTAACCTGGATTTATTTGATGATAGATTCCAGGAAGTCCAACAAGTCAAAAATCATTTCAAATTGATAATCAAACCATTTATGTAAGTTCATCAAGTCTGTAGTATACAAGTATTCAATAGTCTGTTAAAACCACTTTTTTGTTTTTGTTTTTTTTACTTATCGGTACTTAAATAGTGTTATAAGTTGGATATTTCAAGAGATTTTCTTAACTGATTTTTCCTCATTATCATTAGAAAGTAAGTTATTTTTGAAGAGATAATTTGTCCAACTTAAAATGAATGAGTTTTAAATGAACATAAATGACATCTTTGAGTTGAAAATACATATATAATATTAGTAATAATACTTTTAAACTTTATGTTTCATTTCTAACATTCTTTTGGGACTTTTGCCTGTTATTTTAAGAATTAGTGAATTTTTGAAATGTTAATTGTCTGTTTTAGTTGTGTTATGCGAAATCATATTCACAGGTAATCCACAGGTATATTCTATATTACAGGTATATTAGAGGTGTTAAAATTAATGTACCTAATTCACTGATAGGTTGATGAAGACTTCCGAAATCATTCAAAATTGAAAATCTAGTATGTCTAAGTTGAAAAAATAGTTATTTTAAATAAATATTCTGATTTTTAAAATATTTTTATCTAGATATTTGGTGGGATCATTTATGTTAATAATGAAATATACATATGCATTTTTTGAAGCTAGTGTATTTATGAAATTGTTAATTTTCTATTCTAGTCAGTTTCTGAGAAACCATGTTCACAGGTAAGCTGGTATTCATATTCTACGACAATCAATTCATAGAGGTATTGAAAGTAACACAACTCGTGGTAAGTTGATAAAGATTCATCAATCTTTTAATTTATTATGATTTGAAATTATACAGAAAAGTAAAAATTAATTTAACTTTTCTTGATGTTTTAGAAATTTTAGCAGTTGAAAAACCATCTGAATTGGAACAACAGGTTTTGGTAGCAGATTTGGTTTTAAAATAGTGTATAGCTGGTTAGAGCTGAGTTAGTTAGTACTAAATTATTATGTCTAATTAATAATTGTGAGTGAAATGTCATAATGATCCTATCTTTATTTTACTTAATATTAAATAAAAGTTATTTATTTTATTAAAGTCATTTATGTTCATTTAATATAACAACAAAAACAAAAGAAATAAATATAAAGCAAAAACTTATGGAAATCGTCGTAGTTTCAAAACATTCTTAACACCATTTTTAGAAAGTTGGTATACATATTTGCACCTGTCAATTGGTTAAATTGAAAAAAAAAAAAAGCATTTTTTAATTATTTTGTATATTAAATTTAAAAAATTAGATTGAGAAGTACATTTTTTTCAATTTAACCAATTTTTTTATAATACTTACCTATTGGAAATGATTTCTAGTTATACAGTTCAATATATCTTAACTTTTTAATTAAATATATTTTTTGAAATTATTCTTGGGGTAACTTATGCTAATTATTTCATTGACTGATCAATTTATGAAATTGTTAATTTCTGTTTCAGTCAGGTTCCCAGAAGCAACCTTCACAGGTAAGCTGGTAGCTATATTCTAAAAGAATCTATTTATAGAGGTGTTGAAATTAATTGGTATTATGAACTCTGTCAAACATAACTCAAATGGAAAAGCCCTCTTTAAGTGCATTCTGATAAAATATTCAATATTTTATACTTTATTTATTTATGCAGTCTAATGACAAGTAAAATAATGTATAACAACTACGTCATCCTGGCAATTAAAATAATCAACGAAAAAAAATTGCAAACACCAATTTAGTGAATCTATCCTCTTGCCGGCAGTTTTCTTTTATATAATTATCATATTGAAATTATGACACCCTGATGGTATCATACAGTATATTTAAAAAAATATTTTGAATTCCATATCTCTTTTTATACATATTATTAGATTTTGTTGGTACATCATGATTTTTAATAATTTTGTTTCTTATGTAAATTCTTAAATTGTTAGCACTGTTGGTTTCTACCACAAAAAATTAAAACTATTCACTTTTCGCTTTCTTTTTCCCAAAAGATATTTAGTTGTTTTTATTGTACATTTTCTCTTTGCTTTGCTTCATGTGGCACATTGGCTCAATATTTTCTTTTCTACAGATTTTAATTCTCTTTATTTTTTCAGAAATAGACACATTTTTGTTTATCTATATTTAATATTATTATTTCATGAATGATAGCATTCTTTTCTCTTCCCCTCCTCCCCTTCTCTCAAAATTCATTACGTGATCAACAATACCTCTTGATTAATATAATCTTAATTCAAATTAATTTAGTGACACTTTCTCTAACAGTGTTTTATTTTATAATTAATATTTCAATTAATGCGAACAATAATATTAAGAAAAAAAATTTGTTTGTTTTGTTAATTCGAAACCAATATTTCATGTATTAAAAAGTTTGTATAGTAAACTTACTTCCACATGTACGAAAGTGAGACATTTCACTTTTCCCTTAGCAATTAATTATAAGGTTAGAGAAATAATTTATGTTTCTTTCAGGACGATGATACTAGATCAACTTCCACTGACTTGAACAGGAGGGATGAAAGTGTAATTTTTTTTTTATATAGTTAACAGTTTACAGTAAAATATTTAGTTAATGTTATGAAATCAGAAAATTATTTTTAAACTATTAATCTACTATGGAGACTCTCAACCTTGTGCCTCCAGATGCTCTTGCATCCTCGTTACTATTTACATGCGCCTGCAGCAAAGTGATAAATTATGAAAAACGCAAAATTAAAAGAAATAATAATTTTTTATATGATAAATGAAGATAGAAGCAAATTAGCTCAAATTATTTTAATTAAAATAAGGATTTTCCTTGAAAATGGCTCAATAGGAGGACAATAGGATCAAATTGAAGTTTATTTTTAAGAAAGAAGAATCACATAAAATCAACTTTTTAAAAATATAAATTGATTAAATTTAAAAATAAAAATATACTTGAGGTAGTTTTAAAATATTGCTAGTGAGATACTTGCTGAACCACCTATATGGCCCAGCATCTTTATTATATCAGTAATGTAACACTTATATTGTTAATCTTTAATCGACTCATAGAATTAACTATAATGTTTTAATTAGTAATTCAAGCAGAGAGATACTGAGAGATAATGACTGGAAGAACAATTTATTTTTAGAAAACAATACATTACCTAAAATGTTAACAGAACAACTATTTTTTTACATACCTTTGACTAGAATTTCAGTGCTGGAAAAGGCCTGAGAAAATGAAGTTATTTTATAATGTAAACACAGACATACAGTACCTTTCTTCCAAGGATTTTCAAGAAACAATGAAAGTTGCATTTATTTAGGCAGAAACTAACTGGAATGATAAATATTACACAGCCCAAGAATTAATAAAAGTATTTTTTTGCCATCAAAATCTTGTTTTGACAAAGGATCGAGATAAAACATGAATATTTTAATTTTAACATTTTTAGACATCTGTCATTTAAGGAATAATTACTTTTAGTGAAAAATAAACATTAATTTTCAGATAGAAATAATTAAAATTGTGAATTTTCCATTTTAGCCGAACAATGTGCTGTTCAGTGTCCAGGTAAGATGATAATTAAGTTGTATGGTAAGAACATTTATTTATAGTGTATGGAGATTTTTAATTTATAATTCTGGTCGGTAGTTTCGAGAATCATCACCACGACGAAAATCATCCCATAGATCAAAGAAACTTTTGGTAAGTTGGTGTGATATTAAATATTTCTCTAAGACTGAATAGATTTAAAAATGAATCTTTATATTTAACAAATTGGGTAAAAGGATATGAGTTAATTATAGTTCAAGTATTAATAAATAAAATATAAATCAATTGTAAGTAACTACTATTCTGCTAACTATAAGATATTGTTTACATAAATACGTAAAGTATCAATATTAAAGTTATTATTCCTTGTTCTAAGTCAGTTTTGATTTTAGGAGATACATCAGGCCACAAAGTGCAGATTTTTACGTTTTTAATTAATAATTTTGGTGAAATTCAGTTTTCTCATTTTGTGGTTATTATATTTATGAGTTAGGGATTTTAAAATTTATCAGGATTTTGAAATTAGTCCGCAGAATTCCTCTCAGATGAGTTTTTTTTTTGCTAACACCATTCAAATCCTTAACATTTATTGTCATTACATTACTTAATTGTTAAGTAACAGCAAACAATTTCTTAAACACAGGATTTTTATTAAATAAGTTATTCGATTAAAAGTGAAAAGTCATCCCAATTTCTAACTTATATTCTTTATTTTTTATAAAGTAAATGTTACAATGTTTTTGGAGATCCTTGTTTGGAGATATCTGATATAGTTTGTTAGACTTGTAGAGATATTTTTTGGTACTATGTATAATGTGGTTATTTTCTTTCTGAATATTTTATTTGAGTGTTTTTTTTTTCAAATATTTTCTCATTATTTGAGTGCCAGCTTCCATTTTTAAAAATTTCATTTTCTATATTTTCTGTTCCAGGAAAGCCAAAAGCTTAGTGTAGAGGTAAGCTGATAATTATACACCGCAACAATTTATTTAAAGTGATTCAAAATATTTAATATTGTAACTCTGTTTGGTAGATAATAGAAAATGAACCAAAACGGAGATCATCCCATAGACCAAGGAGAATGTTGGTAAGATTGTGGAAGGTTAAATATTTCTCTAATGTTAGAATAACACACAGTACATTTACAGATTTTTATACAGGATTTCCAAGACTCATTTGACTGACAACCCACTTAAAATATATTAATTTGAGTATTTATGAGGTGATACTTAGTGAGCTCAACTGTATCTCTTAAAATTTCTTTTGAGCTCCTATCCAATCCATAATTTTCTTGAGTTGTTTGTTCTGCAGCTCATAACTGTGAAATTATGAATAGAATGAGCTATAATTTACGACAGAATGTTATGGAAAATAAAGTCTAAAGTACGTTATACTCAGAGAAAATAATAATAATCTTGATAATAATAATTTGATTATAGCAATCCGAATTCCAAAAATTGTGTATTTTAAGGGAGTATCAGTGATATATACAGTAGTAAATAGAAGGTTTTATGGCTCCTCTGACATTCAGGACAATAGGTCATATCATTCCATTCTTCTTGTTTTTTAATGTTTAAGACATGATAAATTGTCAATGGGTGATACCATTCCCAAAAGTCCATTTCAAAGAATAAAAACTTGGTCTTAATTTTTAGTAAGATTGCTTAGTGTATTTAAAAATAAACTATCAAGTCTCCTCAATCAGCTATTTTCATATCAGCTAATGTCGGGTCTGGCTGACTTATACTCCTACCCACCTTCTCCCTACTCATATTAATAATTGTTTTTATTTGTTAATTTAGAAATATAATAATCTGTCACATGGACAATAATTATAGTGATATATGAACACATTCACATCCTATATATAGAAAATATAAAATTAACAAAAGTAAAATAATAACTAAATAATAATCAAAAACTATGTACAATAAAAATAAAATAACCTAAAGATAAGTAAATTGAAAACACAGTCATACCTATATACAATAAATACAATTAGGCAGGGAATCCCAAGTCAGGCTTCTCCCTCCAACTTTAGAAGGAAAAGCAGGACTCCAAGAGATCCCTGCGCTACTCTCTCAACCGCGTCACTGGTGCTAAAGCCAGTGGAGTTTGAGCTAGAGCGCTTTAGCCGCATACACTCATGTCTTGAGTGGAGAATCTGATCATTGCCAGAAATCCAAGATATATACTACAAAAGGTCTCTGGGTCACTGCCGCTTCAACCTTCCAGGAGGATTGTAGGGATGAGTGGAGCTAGATAGGGATTGTGCTAGGGGATTTGGATAAAAATAATTAAATTAATAATGTAAACAAATATTATTTACTTGTTAGGCTAAAGAAATTAGTTTTGTTTTATTAAGATTTAGGAAGTGGGGTAAGACAAAGGTAAGATAAGGGTGGGGGTAAACACTGATTCAGCCCAACTATGGCAGACAATTATTTGTTCTGCATTTTCAGCAGTGGATTGATCCTAGACTCAGAATAACTTTATTTGGCACAAGCAGCCTCTATAAAGTGGGAAATCTTAACTAATTGACTGAGAGGAAAAATCTGGCTTTTAAGTATGATCTTGGACCAATTACAACATTGCAAAACTGTTGGCCTATAAACAGTAATTTCTTACAAAGTACAGAACCCAAGAATATTCATGGATTATACTGATACATTTTTTTTTTTTAAGATTTCCCAGAAATGGCGAGATAGGATATAAATGGAAAAAATAAATAAAAGTTTTAAGTAATAAGAAATGATGGATTGCTAATTGATTTTGATTAATTGATATATTCAACAATAATGTATTACAATTTTAGAGATAGTTTTTATCCCCATTTTATTGTATTAATTTTAATATTTATAAGAACAATTCATTTACATTTTTATTTCAGGAGTACGGAAATCCTCGTTCTCAATCAGTCTCTCCAGACAAAAGAGGAACCAGGGACACAAGTGTAATTTTTTTAGATTTTACTTTTTTTAAATTAATAATTCAGTATTTGATTTATTTATTATTTTATAAATGGTTAGCTATATGATTAAATAAATTAATGATTAGGAAAAAGAACCATTACTTTAATAGTATTTCCTTTATAATCAAATAAAATATTGTAAAATTTCTGTTTCAGCCTAAGAGCCAAAGTCTTACATTTCAGGTAAGCCGAAAAACTAAATATTTATAATCAAAAATAACTTACAGCGATGTGAAAATTTTAATATTGTAGTTCTGGTTTGTAGAATCCAGAAAGTTCATCCAGAAGAAAATCATCTCAAAGAGATAATAGATCTTTCATAGTAAGTTGATGTAACTGTAAGTAGTTTATTAAAGCACCTAAATATTATATATGATTAATGGTACAGTTGATGCCATCACAGGCAAATCTATGGGGGAGGGGTGAGAGGGAGAGGAGTTTCAGGTTGAAGGGAGGCTCTCTCCTGAAATGATAAAATATAGCCATATCTTATGATAAAATATTAAAAATTATCTCTTGATGCATTATTGCTCATTTAATTACATTTGATAGGACTTCCAAATTCACTAATACACCATTTCATATAGTTTCTTTCTTTTTTTTCCAAAGTAATTATCGTTATATTTATATGAAAAAAATGTTTTGGGCTGAAGACCCCCCAAAATTAAATCCTGTATCCGTAAGTGAATGTCATGGATTTGGAAAAATTGGTCATTTATTATTAATAAAGTTAATTATTTCACATTAATAAATAAAAGCACTTAAGAAGATGAAATATTGGTTATTAGACGACTGTTTTATTGACTATCGTATTTGATATGAAAGAACATTGAATTTTACATCGATATGAATAGTTTAATCAAAATTGTTAAAGCCTTTCTCAATAAATTCTTAAAAAATTATAAAATTGATTATATGAAGCGTCATATCGGGTAACTTGATATAGACGAAAATATTGATTTGTTTGACTGAAACATGTCAGACATACACTTACCTACCTTAAATACCTAATTTTAGTTTCATATGGCTTTAAGCTAGACATACGTACGCACTGATAGATCATCTAGCCAAACTTGATTATTAGGTAAAAAAAAATGTTAATTTTTGTTAAAAACTCTGATCCCAAATTTTCGTTATCACAATAAAATTCCTTACAATTCATTTCACATTATAGTAATTAATCAATTCTCATGTTTGCAACTAATTTTTTTTCTTCAAAAAAATGAAAAAAGCTCAAGATCTATTTTTTTTGTCACTATTTTGAACTCGATATACAGCTTAAAACATGAATGTTAAATTTCTTTTTCAGCCAAATAACCTGAGACTGAGTGTACAGGTAAGCTTATATCAATATTCTAAAATTAATAAATGGTGATTTAAAAGTTTGAATTTATAATTCTGATTAACAGGTAAGAGAGAATTCACCAAGACGAAAAAATGTATGCGTAAAAGAAAAAATGTCGATTGTAAGTTGATAGAATTGATTATTATCTATAATCAATAATATAATAAATTAAATAAATTTTAATTGCAGGGGACCGAAACTACCCGTTCCCGATCAAAATCTCCTGAGAAAAGGCACACAAGCGTAAATTTGGTTTAAATATTTCTCTATTTAATAAGTAGTTCAGTTAAATTCACTATTTTATTTCTAATATAATATAATTTATAAATATGTAATAGGATTAATAAGGGTGTTAGTATGTATGTAAGTCGTTTTACAAAAAGAGGCATCTTTTGTAGAAATTTTTTTTTTGGTTCGAAAGTAATTTTAAAATTTTTTTTTTTCCTTGAGTGCCTAAGGCCTAGGGGCCTAGAAAAGTCCCTAACTAGCTGCGCCCGCTTTCCATGGTCAATAATCCAGAACAGTGACATGAAACATACATCATTTAGCAATTAAGAAAACACCAAAAATACAAAGGTTCATCAAACAAATTAATAAGTTACTATAAGCCAATGAAATTTGTATTAAAAACTCAAAAACTAAAATTAAAATTTCAAGGAGCTAGTATTCAAACTGAATTCTATAGATAAAATGGAACACTTCATATAAAACAGGAATATGGAATATGGGAATAGTTAAAGGCAACTCTTGCAGGAATTCTATAGGTTTTTGGAAAATTCCCTGTGTTTTTTTTTTTTTTTTAAAGGAAGCATTTTTCTCCTAGTTTTTAAAAGACAGTATGGGATACCTGACTTAAAACCTTGGAAACAACTCTTTCTCGTATTTCTTTATCTTATTGACATTATAATTTCAAGTCAATTAACTTTTTTGCTGTAGTTGTAAGTGTGAGAATACACATACAAAAGAAAATATAATAATAATTTTTGTCTGTAGACATGTCCTATAATAGTGTTCACAAATGTATTACTTAAACATAATACTTTCAGGGGACAGCCTGAGGAATGGCTAATTTAATCTTGAATTTAAATTTTAATCATGATGAACAAGAAATATTTTGCTATTATGAACAATTTCAATATTGAAAAATAAAAGGTTATTTTTGTTGAATCACTCTTGTAGCTCAGTTATATTCAGAGATATACATTTTGAGAACAAAAAATAATAAACGTATAATGCAATACATACAATTTAGAAGTTTTATGTTAATAGATAAATTTTATTTTAATTTTCAAAATTGTGAATTTTCAATTTCAGCCGTCTGAGCCCCACAAATTAAGAGATTCAATATTACTGGTAAGCTAAAAACTATATCATCATGGGATAGTCTGATTACAGTTTAATTTAAATTCTAATACTGTAACATTTTAATAGGCTCAGAAACGAAATTTACCTCAGAAAGAAAGATCATGGACCAGAATTTGTACTGTAAGTAGGTGTCTGAATAATTAATTTATTTCATTATCATTATTTCAGAGTATATATCGATAAATAAATGTATTAATAAATACATTTATTACTGGTTTTAAGTAACAATTAGTACTTGGGTGGAAAGAATTATTTATTTATTTATTTTTACTTCTCAAAAAATCTTGTCCATATTGGACACAAGATTTAAAATAAATAATTAGTTGAGTTCTTTTGTTTTTTTGATTGGGCTCTCAAATAGACCCATTTCAGGGGTTTGTTTTATCATTTTATTCATTTCATTAAATTAATAAATTATTAATCATAATTTTTACAAAATTACAAATTATGAATCTTTTCTATAAAAACGCATTCTACCGATTCTGACATCTGCAAATCAAACTTGGACCTTCAATTAGAGCAAGCCACGATATGAGATCAATCAAAGAAATATTGGAAGAACATAGCTTGAGGTAGCTCGGATACATGTCTATCATTTGAGAATCGCATTGCCACAGATACCCATGAAGCTATCGCAGAAGGGAAAAGACCTCGAGGAAAAACCAGGAAAACTTGAGAGGAAGGGTTGAAAGAGTCCTTCACAGGAGAGGTCTGGAGTGAAGGAAGAGGAAAAAGCTGGTACAGGGCTGGAATTTATGGATCAAACTTTATTAAATGATGCCTCACACAGTGCTGTGGTAGAAGAGATCAAGAATATTAAGAAGAAGAAGAAATTTCACGCTAAATTAAATATATCTTGGGTTTCTTGCTAAAATTCACTAAGTAGTCTTTTCTTTGGTTGGTTAAACATAAATATACATAGTTGTTAATTTCGATCTTCAATAATATTTATTAATAGAATAACCCATTATGTTCATCAAAATAATACAAGTTCGTCTATAAAAAATAATTTCACTAAGTACAAGATGATCTGACTTTACAGAGAAAAAAATCATCAAGTTACATAATAAAATTCTTGTTCACTAAATAAGGTTTATAATGAAGATAAATCAGAAACTTAAAAATCGATTATCTCAAATTCATTAAAATAATACTTAATGAATTTATGCAATAAACCAACGTTATAATTAAACCCATTTCATTCCAACTTTTGAGATTATGTGCAGGTAAAATCCTAGTAATATTTAGCTACGAAACCATTAATAATTTCCAAGAAATTTTTTTTAATCAAAGATTATTATTTTATTATTTATTGAATAATATAAAATTTGTCACAATTGAAAGGTTAACCATTATTTAAATTCATAGAAAGAATGATCTGATTATGGCACCTTGCTGTCAATCACTGATGGTGAGATAACTTTCTGTCGAATTGAAAAATATATTACCTCAGGGGTGCCCAGAAGGCGGTGTTATTGCGCAAGTTGTGCTATCACCCTTTTTGACGGTGTTTTCAATTTTTGAGGGGGGCACAATACGACAGGATAATGAATTTTCAAAATGAAAAGTTTAAAATCAAAAGACAAGTGGAATCATAGAACAGACCACAGGATATGTGTATAATCTATGAATATTCGTGTTTTTAAGAAGAAGAGAGGACTAAAATATCTAAGGAGGGGTGGGGGAAGGTTTATGCGTGGGGGAGGGATGAGCCTTGGGGGAGGGATGAGCACCCCTGGTTTTTGGCGCCCTGAATGAAATTTTTCCTTGCGCCCCTTCTCTCCCGCCACTTCATCCCAAATCGGCTAATAAATAATACCCTATTATCCCATGTTTAAATAGAAAAATAGAGTTAAATGATTAAGTAGGAATCCGTTTCAAATCTCAAAAGTTGCAAATGCTCTTAAATTGAATCGAGGATTAAAATGGAGCAGTTAATATCAAAGAGTTTAGTTACGGATACTTATTATAAGCTATAATTAAGAAAGAATTACCATTGAAAGACCAGTATTAAAGAACTATACAACCAAAACCCACATTTTTGAATAATTCTTTTTACTTACAATTCTTCGAAGAAAACCATTTTAAACACATAGAAAAAATACCAAGTTTCCAAGCAACAAAATAAATAAATAAAAATGGCAGATTTCTTAATTTTTTTTATATTTTCCACTTTTTAATCAAGTTATTTTTGTCTTGGAGTAATTTAACTCAATGTACGATAAAGAGAAACCCATTTCAACCAAATCACCTTAGTCATATTTCTATTTAATCAAAAATATTTCAGTCATCCTAAAGTGGTGCTGTATTTTTTTTTTAAATAGAAAAAATAATCTTTTCATTTTACACCTAGGGAATATACCACCTAACATTAAAACATTACATTAATGTTATATTAAGAAACACAAACACATACAGAAATTTATTTTTTATTTCAGGAAAATGATCATACTTATTTTCGATCTGCTTCTCCGGCGAGAGGATTCATTACCGTAAATTTTACTTTTGTTTACTTTTTAAAATAATTTTGTGGAATTAAGTATTTAATTTAAAAATATGATATTTGTTTTAATGTATTATTATTCCTCATATTAATTTGATCTCTTAAATTAAATTATATTGGCTTATTTTACCTTTAATTTAGTCGATGTTATAATTCAGTAATCTGGTGTGCAGGACCCAGATATCCCTCTCGGAGGTAGCTCACCTCAAAAAGATAAGGAGCATTATTTTGTAAGTTTATGTAAATAGTAAATAGTTTATTAAACCCCAGCATTTATTTATTATAATTATTTATAATTTATAATTACAAGTAAGCTTTCTCTGGAATATTTGTTTTTTATTTTTCCCATTTTACTAAGCTATGGATGCTTAGTGTTCATCCAAGGATATGATTATTAACAAAGCCTACTAATATATTTTTATAATATTTTGTGGTTTTCGCGAGATGCAGTGGCATAATTGGATAAGAAATGCCCTGGAGTAGTTTTCTTAACACAAGCTCTCCTCCCACCCTTTCAGTATTGTTTTATCTGTATCGGTGAATTTTATTTAATATATTTCGAAAAAAATATCATCATAATATCAAATTATGTTATGTTATTGATTGAATATCAAAACTAAAACAAAGATATTTACTTAATAAAAAAAAATAACTCGAAATTTGTTAGTACCCATGTTTGTATGATGCAAGAATTGGCTAAATATTGGTAAGCTAATTTTCTTGGTTAAATTTTAGAGAATCCAGACCTTGTGTTAGAAAATTTTCAATTGTATGTAAAAAAATATTTTTTTTTCACATTATATTAGTATTATTATTAACGTAGACTGATGCAAATCTACCTATTTCTGTTTTTTACTTTCACTTACCTATATATGTAATATATAGTAAGGGTAAGTATTGCTCCTGAAATTTTTTGAATCTGAATTTTCAACGGAAATACACGTTTTGAGATCACCTGAGTCTAAATAATCAAGTCCCGCAAAATGGTCTGTGTGTCTGTGAGTCTGTGTGTATGTGAGCAGTCTAGCTCAAAAATCAAAAGTCGTACGAAACTGATATTACCTATTTAAGATAGATATATGCCTTAGATGTGGCAGCAGGTTTTTCCTTAAAATCGGCTAACCGGAAGTGCCACTTTATATCAACGGTGAAACACATTTTTTAACTATCTCTCATCATAGTTACGAAAAAATGCTAAATATAACATTTGAAAGAATTTGATAATTGAATAAAGGAGAAAAAAATAATAATGATTATCCAGGTCGAAAATGAATCTCCGGGATTACAAGTCCGAAGGTATATGTATAATACATCGTTGAAAAGCTGAGAATTTTAGAAAAAACAACATCTAATATAGAAAGTTGTAGAAGGTAACGGAGAGTGGCGAAAAAATTATAAATAATAATATCAGAAAACTATCATTATTTTACGTAAATCACATGTTTCCAAGGAAATTGAATGAAATTTTCTTACAATAGGCAAAGTTTTAAATGTTTTTCTAAGTTTAAAAAAAATAATATTCAAAATCCACCGAATCAAACCAGTGCTATTGTTTAAAATACTACTTCATTGTACTTATGTGAAAGGAGAAGTGAAATATAAAAATATTTCATGAATATGTTTATAACCTCATATATATTTACTATAGAGTATTAACTCTAGATAAGATATTATATTTGAATAATTAGGTATCTATCGGGTGTTTATTACAAAAAATCATCAAGTATTCTTTCAGAAAATTAAATTAGAGAATAATTTGATGATTTTTTCCTTTGTGAAATCCCAACATTATCCACTTACAATTAGTGTGACAATTTTTGATCTATCCATGGCAGGTAATGAAAATCTCGTAATTTCGTTTTTGTAAACTTTAAAATGGAAAAATAACAGTTTATTTTTATTTATTAGACAGTTTATTTTTTCTATTATAGTCCTACAATTCATAATAATTTATAGCTTAAATATTCAGATGTAATTTCAAACCTCTCTAGGCATATATTAGCCTTTCAGTTAACACAATGACTAACCCCAATTTCAACATTCTTTATTATTAATTTTAGCGATGTTTCTAGCGGCAAAATTTATACCTTTATTCAGTTCTATATTTTAACACTGCAATCATCTACTCTGGAATCAAATTACTCATTGTCTGTATAGATAACTTACCCAGGGTCCATGAGGTGCGGCAGAAGACAAGACATCTACTGTAAGATCATCCGAGCACCAGGCTACATTACAGTGGATCCCTTTAATTGTTCCCTATAATTAAAGTATCCCTCAAATTTTGTACATTGAAAATTATAAAGAATTTTATTAGCAATAGTGGGCTACGTATTACCACGACGAATTAAACCAGTACTACAAAAAACTAGAAATTGTTAATGATAAGCCTTAATTTCGGAATAAATTAGGGTAAAAAGAATTTATGATATTGCACCAAACCAAGTTATAATTAAAATTAAATAACTTATGCTGGTCCCTAGTTCTAGTCAAAATAAATAAATTTGACAGATTTATTGTTCTGGATCCTATTCTTGCAAAACATTCTCCTTTCATGAAAGCGAATTCAGTCCAATCACTTATGTTGTTGTGTGGTCATTTTAAAATCGTGACTTTCCGTATAGGTGCGTTTATATGTACAATTGTAAATAAGTATTCCAGTTCAGGGGTGCCCATCCCTCTGTCGGTTTTGCTATCGGTTTTAAAATAGAATTTGGGTAAAGAATCGCTTATCAATATTAATTAAATTAATTTTCTTCATCAATCATCTCCTTGGAAGAATTTTACGCCTTCTTTAATTTTATTTTGCTTATTTTTTTTTTTTTAAATATAATAGGTTAAGGCAAATGCGATTTCGAGCGTCCTCCGTGTTTGTTTCTCTGAAAATTCGGAAATATCTAAGCAACTTGTTTCTTGTTTTTGTTTGTTGATATTTCTGATATTTTTGAAATGAATAATCCCGGATTTATTAGTAATTTTATCAAGTTAAAAGTACTTTAAAAATATTTTATTTTTTTGTTGTATTCCTTTTTGTAAAATCAATACACGATTTCTTTTTTTTTAATTTCATATTAAATATGATCATTAAAAAACTTTAGTTAAGATAAGATATCATATAGAGATCGGGTTCTTGTCTTAACAAGGAGGTTCTATTATTAATGAGAAGGTTCTCATCACTGGTGAAATTACATGTGTTGAAACTTAATTGCAATACCTCATCGCCAACAGCTTGAACCATTGAATTAGAATGAGAAAAATATGAGATTAGAATTTTACTGAAACATAAGATAGTTATATAAAATTCGATGACCCGCATCTAATTTCAAATTATTTTTCAAGGCACTAGAGGACTCACAAAAGATTTTACCTTGCGACAAAGAGGATCCTGGTAATGTAAGTGGATTAAATTATTAATATAACTATTGCAAATCAACATGTATCAATTAACCATATAATAGTTATATTGTATAATAGTTACCTACAATTAATAAGCCGATAAAACTTGACATAAATCATTAAAGGGTATTTAATTTTTGAAACTGTAAGTGTTGGTTTTTTAGACAAATCTATTAACCTTTAGATAATTTACATTTTGTATTTTTCCTGATTTTCCTATGTAACCTGATTTCCTATAAACAAAAAGTTTTTTTCTATAGATCATGATTTCTTCAGTCACTACCCTAATCATCATATCTCTTTACGACGAGTCTTCCTAAATTCATCACTGTAGAAATTACTTTTTTTTTTTGTTCAGAGATGTCAAGGAGTGAGCTTACTTCATAGGGCACATATGGCATACAGTCCCGTGACTTTGTCTCCTATTTTATATGTGCAGACTTCAAGGGTGGGAATCAATAATAAATAATCTACATAAATGAATAAAATATGTAAACTAAAATCGATTAACAAAATACGAAAAGTCGAATAGATAAGCAGGTCTACAAGTAGAAACGTAAGTATTTTACCACGGCCCACAGGAGGATCTACGGGGAGAGGGCAGGAGGGAACTTTCCAGCTGAAGCCTTCCCCCCCCCCCACACAAAATGGTAAAATGTAACCATGTTTTATGATAAAAAATTATCTCTTAAAATATTATTGTTCGTGTAATTATATTTAATAGGACTTCAAGAATCACATAAACACCATTTCATATATGTTGCTAGTATCTTTTTTTACTTTCACTTACATATATATGTAATATATAGTAGGGGTAAGCATTGCGATCGTGAACATTTTCGAATCTCAGTTTTCAACGGAAATACATGTTTTGAAATCCCCTGAGTCCAAATAACCAAGTGTCGCAAAATGGACTGTGTGTGTGTTAACAGTCTAGCTCATAAACGAAAAGTAGTACGAAACTAATATTAAATATTTAAGGTTTGCATATGAGCCGGATGTGACAGTAACTTTTTCGTTAAAATCGGCTAACCGGAAGTGCCACTTCATATGAACGCTGAAACACATTTTTACAATTTTCTCAAAAACGGCTCTAACGATTTTGATTAAACTCGGTGTATCATTGTATAATTAAGTGGTCTTCAATATCATTTAGGTTATTTAATATCCCAGTTGATGCCACTTTACAGGGTTTAAATGCCCAATGTTTATATATGTCTTCCTCTAAAGTATCTTTAATATGGTTTATTTTAAAAAGTTAATCATTCCACATTATTCAGAGTTACGAAAAAATGCTACATTCAACTTTTGAAAGAATTTGATATGTTATTAAAGGAGAAAAAATATGAAAATGCAGAAAAACCTGCGTTGCTATAGACTGTAGCGCCTAAACGAATGTACCGATTTCAATGAAACCAAGGTCATTTTCTCGACACCCTTTAAATTTATCTGTATAACATACTTCAACGAAAAGAAGCTGGAAAAAAAGTTACAAGGTATGGTAAAATTAAATTCCGAATAACTCAAAAAGTATACACTTTTTTGTGAATATTGTATATGGTTTTTTAAAAGTTTATGGAATTTCCTAAAAAGTGCATTAAAATTGGACAATTGGGAGGAAAGATATGGTCTCAAGTTTTTTTCCCCTGAAGAGGCGAAAATTTGTATAAATTTAAAATATACTTTTTAATTGTTGAGACTAAAAAAACGTTTTTTCTACAGATATTTAATAAAGTATCTTACCTCAGAACATCTTTCATAAGCAATAAGTATCTAAATTTATACCTTTATTCTCAGTTCTATATTCCAACACTGCAATCACCACTTCCGGAATCAACTTACTCACTGTCTGCATAGATAACTTTTTCAACTAAAAATATTACTAAATTGACATATAATCAAAAATGTTGAAATTGGAGTTAGTCATTCTGTGGTTTATAAAAGCAAAGAAAGTTATGTGGTTTATAAAAGCAGATGGAGTGACTAGATTTTTATTGCCTACTGTCGATATATTAAAAAGACATTTTGTAATTATAATGGTCTTAATGACTTGTTATCTGTAAGCTTTAAGCTTTAGCTCCGTTAAAAATGCACTTTAAAAAATTTTATAATAATTTCTATTCAAAGTAGAGCGGTAAGTGAAAGTTGTGTGTTGCGAGCACAAGTTTTTTTTTTTAGTAGTTATGTTATATATATGAAAAAAAAAAATTCGGACTGAAGCCTTCCCTCCCCAAAATGAAATCCTGGATCCGCTAGTGCCACGACCTAAACATTCCTATTATTTCAATTTCCATTTGTATTGAGAGACAATAATATAAGAAAAATATCCTGGAATTTTATTATTAATGGTGCATTTACTCCTCGACATGAGGAGGACCTTTCCATTTTCACATTATGCTGTTATTAAATTTTTGCAATTACTTATAAACTAGTAGGCCCGTGCACGGGCGGATCTACGGGGGAGGGGAGGCTTTCGGGCTGAAGCCCCCCCAAAATGGAAAAATATAACCATGTTTTATGGGAAAAAAAATTTTAAAAATACCTCTTAAAGTGTTATTGTTCGTGTAATTACATTTAAAAGTACTTAAGGAATAAATTAAACACCATTTCATATAGGTAGTTAGTTTCTTTCTTATTTTCCAAAGTAATTATCGTTATTTTTATGAAAAAAAAGGTTTCGGGCTGAAGCCCCCCCCCCCAAAATTAAATCCTGGATCCGCTAGTGTGCCCCTGCGAAAAATTCGCACAGCATATTGTTATTAAATGCCAAATTAATGATAAAATAAAATAATGCAACGTATCAAAAGATAAAGAAATCAAATGTTACTTAATCGATAAATAAAATTGACAAAGAAAAATGAATTTAAATCTTCATTTAGAGTGCTACCAATGGGTAGTTTCTCAACATGTGATTTCATGCTATTTTATTCCTTTGTTCACATTTACTGAATGTATTTTTACTTGTAATACAGTTGTAAATATCACCAATAAAAAAAAAAAAAAAAAAAAAAAAATCTTCATATTTGTTTGGCACCAACATGTTTAAAAATTTCAAAGCTGTCTGTATCTTTGCTAAAAATTGTCCGATTTCGATGATTTTTTTTTCATTTTTTAGGGAATTTAGTTATCTTTTATATAATAATGAGCATTACCAAGAGAAAAGTGTGTTATTTTTTAGTCATTCGCAAATAAAGTTTGTTTTCTTTCATAACTTGTTTGCCTAAATTTCCGGGGTGATTGGACTATTTTCCCCGCCTGAAGGAGAATGAAGCCTTCGAAATTGGTTGCTCAATCTTGAGATTTGGTGAAAAATTTCCGATCAAAAACACCATCGATAAATAATATAAACTCCTCCTCTCTCGATCATAGAGACCTCAAGTCGACGAAATGAGACATGTATTCAATGACAGTACTACAATTAATGTAAGGTTGTGTGGATGCGAACCCTATGCCTTGTGTTATCTCAAAAATAGTGCTTTTTGGGGCTTAAAAACGCAGTTGCTGTACCCATTAAAACCTTCGAGATCCAATTTGTCCCGTATCGATCTACAGACCTACCACCTTTCCAGAATTGAAGCCTAGCAAAATGTTTGTATCGACTTTATTTATTTTAGAAAGAAAAATAAAAGTGGAGAATAGGATTCGCTAATCCCCCGTGGAATTTTGAATCCATTCATGGTATTTGAGCATGACAAGAGCTTATATTTGGTACAAAACCGATTTCGATGTTGAACAACTATGAGAGTTCGTCTACTGCTTCAGTCAGAATCTTCTAAAGAAAGTTTTATTTTCCTTTGTTGGATTACTGTAGCTTAAAAAGTAGTCATTAAGTAAAGCCAGAATGGATTTAGATGGTTAAAGTTAACAAAAATCAAGTGGGAGATCCCAAGAATAAGCTGTCAAAAGAAGAAGGATAACTGTTTTGTGTGTTAGGAATTGGATTAAGCGGTAAATCGGTTGTTAGTAAATATGAAATTTTGTAAATGACGAAATAATCACGAATCGCTAATGTCGTAAAAAAAAAAAAAAAATTGATTCTCGGCTTCTGTATGTTGCCAACTGCTGGAATTCATGAATACATTAATACATCTTCATAATTTGTATTTTGTCGATTTGTTTCAGGTAACAAGCAGAGGAGATGCAGGAACTCACTGGTTAGGAAGTGAAAAAGTGCATATGGGTGTTCAGGCATCGGACTCAGAGGTGTCATTGACAAAAGGTTCTGATATTATGTCCAGAGTTATCTTTGACCCACGAAAACATTCTGAACTATTGAAAAATTCAGATGAATCAATCGAAAATCATTTGCAGATTGAAACTCCCAAAAAAAAATCTGCGCTCAAACGTACTATAAGTTCATCCCAACAAACTCAGGCGGAATTCGATTGTCTTGAACTCATTAAACCTCGTAAAACTGGAATCTCTGTCCATTTCGCCAGATCGAATGAAGGAGACATCGAAAAATCTTCGACGTTGAGCTCATGTATTCCCGAAATTTCCGGATTCATTGATTTTACCTGTTTGGGCTGTAACAAAACAGAAAAGCATCCCACGACTTCAGGAAATGATCAAGGGAACAATTTCCGAAATTTTGAAGAATCGGTATGTAAAAGTTAAAAAAACACAATAGTTGTCTCTTAAAATTGAGAATGATACAGGTTTAAACAATACCTTGGGACTGCTTCAAACTGATATATTCTGTTTGAGGCTCTATTTTGTTTTCTTTCTGAACTCTTGATATACAAAACTTTTGAAAGTAATTGGTTGATAATGTATGTCCCTTTAGGGTAAATGTAATTTTCATTAATTTAAAATAAGCCTGAATACAAATCATTTCCACATATTTTAAGTTGATCAAATTCATAATTTCGGAATGATTCAGAGTGCAGTCCCAACCCAAGGTATAGCAAGTACCTTTCCTATATCTTACTATTTTTTACAATCAAGGAATAATGGTCATATAGTATACGATAATGAGTTTACACTAATAAGACTTGTTACCAAAACATAATTTAAACTTTTTTGTAATCAATTTAAAATAGAAATGTATTATTATTATTATTTTTTAATCAAAATTTTAAGTTCTTGTATACAAATAAAATATAGAAACTTATTCTACTAAAACAATACAAATAGTTATAATTTTATTAACAAATAATTTTATAGTTTGAACTTTTAAATGTTGGCGAAAGTGTAAATATATTATCCATATCTATCACCCACTCATACATACACTGTCAACCAAAACCCACTGATGTAGGAATATTATAATATAGAATGTATATATTTATAAATATTTAGTAAATAATATCTTCAACTTAGTGCCACTTTAGTTCATCCTTTGGCTGCCAATTACCTTTGGAGGAATTATAACCCTTTCTCCTCCTTCCAAAAAACAACCAAATAAAAATAAATTACAGCCCTCTTATGGAATATTCATGTTATTTGCATTGGGAAACTTTTATTTTAATTGAGAGAGAATAATGGGTCAGTCCAAATAAAATAAAATTATTAATAAAATCAAAAAGCTAACAGCAAAATAAGTTGATAAACCAAAGTAAAATAAATGCTAAAACAAACTCTTTTCAAATCTCTCAATATAGTACAAACATAGTTAAAAATAATTATTTTAATTTTAATGTTTTTCTTTACTTTTTTTTATAAATTTAAAAATTTATAACATATAAGTAATAAATAAGAAGGAAAATTATAAATATTAAAAGTGTTAACACAAGTTAGCTATTAAAAATTAATAATTAATGGATTATGAAAATGACTAAAGTCTATTTGATTTTATTTTAACATATTTATAATACAAAGATTTCTTAATTTTATAGTTTTTAAAAGGGTCATTCTTCCGATGAAAAGCTTTGTAGTTGTAATTTAACAGTCATAGCACATTAATTAAAAATAAAGAGTTATCTCAATTTTCTGTGTTGATAGAGTAATGGAGTTTAAGTTGTTTAATTAAAAATATATTATAAAAACCTTAATTTTGAAATAAAAAGTAATCGATGCTAAGCTAAATTTTGAATTATTTTATCATTAAATAATACTGCCAGTAAATAAAACAGTCACATATATTTTTAAAGTATATGTTATTGAGCAGTATATTATCAATTTTGAAGAAATGTATTTTTCAGAGTAAAATGAATGATGCTTTGAAAAATTCAGTGATCCTAAGATCTCTTGCAAGCCGGTGTTCTCATATCGCAATAGTTGATGAAGCTAATAAGCCAATGTTCATTGATATCAGGGTAATATTTTATTTTTATTGTACTACTACTATTTCTTTGGCATTTTATTATTACTTGTTTTATGCAGCCTTTACTTTCACAAATTACAATAAATATGATTTCCAAATCTAAGCTCACATACCAGTAAATCGTCTACGCCAGAAAAAAATAGTATTTAAAATTGTTTTGTAGTAGTTGTCATCCACAATTTCTAGAGTCGTTCATTTCTTACCTATCCAATTAGGTTTGCTATATGAGAAGCGCTGAGTTTTTATTAAAAAAGTCTCCATGGCAAATATATAGTTAAATCACAATCTAATTATTTTTCCATTAAATCAAAACTGATTCAAATTGAAGTGAAAAAAACTTTAAATTGGCATTAAATTATCATCTTGTTTTTCAAATATGAAAATTTATAGAATCATAAAATCGTTGTAGAAATATACAGATGGGGAGAATAATTATAATATTTACAAAATCCATTGTTTCATGAAATTTTTCTAAAATATGTTGATATTTTTAAAAAAATTTCGATTAAAAAAATAGTTAAATTATGATTGAAGTTAATTTTTTTTTTTTTCTAAGATGATATTGACTAGCTATATTCTTATTTCAAAATATATAGTTTGCTAAATAAGTTATACGAATATGGTACATGCATATTTGTACTAATAAATATTTATAATAATAAATGGATAGTTGCAAATTAATTAAAATATCTGGGATCAGTTGGCAATCCAAAGGTGTACTCATTTATCAATAAGTGAAAAGAAAAATTGTGTTTTTTCCTAAACCATTCAGTATTATTTACATAATATATTTACAAACACATGAATTTGAAGATTTCAACATAATCTCTCACTTACTTACTGCTGGGCACTATGGTCCAACAACGACCTGCGCCTCCTCAAGGACTTCAAGTCAGTCATTCCTATCTTTAGGTTGTGTCGTCCATCTCCTTACTCCAAGCAACTTGAACATAATCTCTAAATTTATAAATATTTTATAAATGATATCAGAGGTTTGGGGGAAAATAACATAATGTTAATTTCAACTTAGTGCAGCTGAATTCGTTCTTGGATTGCCAACAAATTATTGTGGAGCTATAGAATTACTGATAAAATATAAAATAGAAGGAAGGATGAACACAGTCACATCAAAAGTTCATCTTTAACAACTTTAAAATTAAATATGATTTTTAGCTCTTTTCTACTTTCAGCATACCAGTAAATTTTTAAAGTGTTTTTTCATTTAGATAAAATATCTCATAAACTAAAATTCGGACGTACATACTGTAATCAAGGGAAATGATCAAAATTTCATCTTCTTTCTAATGAGCTGTTACTCAAACTGGTATCTTAACGTGACACCGTGCTAAAGAGGCAAAAGGGAACGAGTTTGGTTGAAGATATAGATTAAAATATCTCAGCAGAAACTAGAAATCGGACCTGCATATTATAAGCAAAGAAAATATTCAGCATTTTATCATCTTTGTAATGAGCTATTAGTCGAAAGTAAAACTTAATGCGATGTCGTGTTAGAGAGGCAGAAAGGGAAAATCAGTGTTGAAAACCAAATGATAAAGAGTTGAAGATATGGTTCAAAATATCGCAGAAACTAAAAGTCGGACCTGTATTATGTAAGCAAGGAAAATGTTCAGCACTTCATCCTCTTTGTAACGATCTATTATTCAAAATTTTATCTTAACATGACGCCATGTTAGAGAGTCCAAAAGAAAAAAACATAGCTGGTGTGCTTAAAGTAGAAAAGAATCTAACTTGTAATTAAATATTATTTCTAAATTACATCCATCATAAAATTAAAATCACTTAGCATTATCATTAAAAGAAGTCCCCACAATTTTCCTAAAAAAACACAAAATTTTAAAATATATTACCAGCCAACAATAAACAATAAAAGAAAAGAAAAGACAAAGAAGTATAATTATTAAGCTATCGTTGGAATGTTCAAATTGAAAGCTTTAAGTCCCTGTTCCTCAAGTCAATTAAAAGAGTCAAAGTCAAATAAACCTTCTTCAATTTCAAACAAACATTTCATCACTAGTTAATATTTGTACAGATAAATAAAAAATCTACATAAATTACATAAATATGGCAATTAAAAATAATTCTAATTACAAACCATTAAGATAACTTTTTTCTATTAATTTAAGTTAAAAATTAAATTGTGATCCCTCTATTGCTGTGAAAGGTGTTATATGGACTCATGAATTAAACAAATGTTTATTAAGACTTCATTCAAAGATTAAAGCAAATTTTAATATATTTATATTTTCTTTAAAGTTGTTATTATGATTATCTTGTATTACTGATTTATTTACCATCATCGAGTTCTGTTTGGAAGATGATAGAAAAAAAAGTATATTTCAGGAAAATTTTGCAATAGAACTTTTAAAATTGTAGAATAATGCATTATAAATTTAATATTTTTAAAAGTTTATTCTGACTCTCCGATATTGTTTAAAAATAGAGTTAAGATTAAGATAAGCAAGTATTGAGACTATTTATGCGATGTAAAAATTGCTCTTTTTGAGAATATGTTTCAACGAAAAACTAAAAATCAAACATGTTCATCTATTTTTCTTACAATCAACATTATAAAATTTGCTTAATATCAATTTTAATTTATCTAAGAAATATCTTAACTTCTTTCCATTGAACGAGTAGGATAACCATAGTTAGAATTTATTTTTGTAAGACTAGATCATAAAACTAAAATAAGCTTTATCACATAAAACAATATTAATATAAATCATTAAAATAACGAAAGTAAAAAACATATAAATTAACAGTTAATTCTAATACATTACAATAAAATATATATTAAGCAAAATCAGAACATTTTATTCTTTTAAATTAATTTAATTATAGACTTATACTAAAAAGTTTAAATTTAATGAGTAGATCATACATTAGCATTGGTCTGAACTTGAAATTTAAATATTAGTTGAAGGTTTTCTTTTTCCCTATTTATCATAGAGAAACTCGATGGTTTATTAGGTAGATTTGCTGTCAAACTGTATATACTAAACCTACCCAGTTCATCTTATCTTGATACATACAATTTCCTATTAAACCTAAATTGGTAGACTAAATAAATTCATCAATCATGGTTTGTCAGAAGCTCATCTGAATAAGATGATTGCAGGTTCTGAAGGGATCAATTAGGTTAATGAAGGGCAGTGTTGGTCAAACTGCTTCTAAAAAACACTGTTGTCTGAAAACCAGACAACTTGACCAATGCCTTATATGTTTTCATGAGTTGTTTATTTTGATGTATAGATGACCGTTTTTATTAATATTATAATTTTTTTGTAGGATCCCAACAATTTGACATGCTTGACACATGAAAACTGTTGCTGTGAAGATAGTTAGGTGTGCCCCAGTGTTTGTTTTATAAATTTCTTCGGTTTTTAAAGTGTTATATCAATAAAAAAAATTTCATAAATCTTTATAGTCAATAATATTTTAACCTTGAATATTCATCCATTACTCTGGCAAGAGAAACAAATAATAATTAAGCATAAAATAGAGGAATGAAATAAGAAATTTCAAGTTTTTTTTTCTGGAGGCTCCAATGATCAACAGTAAAAATATCACATTACCTTTCTACTTCGAGGTGATGTTATGTGATGAGGTGATGCTGGGAATTAGTGTTAAAGCCCACCAATGCTCACTTTCCTCATAGCCATATGTTTCATAACTGTTCTGTAGAATACAGAAAACTTGCCCTAATTCAGACTTCCTATTTATGTGAGGATTATATAGAAAAAAGTATAATATTAATAAAGGATTTTGTTGTCTGTGTAATGTCCAAACCACAAAAGTAATGAGAAATGAGGGAATAATTTAAGTTTTCTGCTTGCAGATTACAACTTTTCGTATGATGTTAGGATTTTTTTTATTCTGAAAACCGAAAATAAGTTTTATAAACATAAGCAAGAGAAATGTGAAGCAGAAAAAACACACACATAAAAAAAAACCTTAAACCAATGGCCTTAACATTTAAAAAAATACACAAAATTAAATGGTTTCAAGTAATGGATGAATTTTCTAATGATGTAGAGATGGTTGACCGTTGATATGATATGAGAAGGAGTTAGTTGAGGGTGCGGTCAAATAATTAAAAAAAATTAAAATATATAAATAATTTTAATTTTTGCCGACGTTTCGACCCACTTTGCAGGTCGTCTTCAGGGCGTTGGATGTGGCACTGCGGGAGGCAGTTGAAACACTGGTCAACCAGTGTTTGACCAGTGTTTCAACTGCCTCCCGCAGTGCCACATCCAACGCCCTGAAGACGACCTGCAAAGTGGGTCGAAACGTCGGCAAAAATTAAAATTATTTATATATTTTAATTTTTTTTAATTATTTGACCGCACCCTCAACTAACTCCTTCTCAGATGAATTTTCTAGTTTTGTAGACACTTCATTTTACTTTAAAATAATTTGACAAATGCATCAATGGTTAGACCACGTGTAAGGGAACAAGGGTAGACCCCTCAGAGAAGCCATTGAGGCTAGAGTTGAAAGTTTGTGGCCCTGAGGAAGAATGACGTAGGCACAAGGCATCAATGTCAATACAAGTCTTTCCAAACAAAGTCTAACCTTTGAGAAATTCAGAGACAAATGCTGAGGGCTGCAAAGTTAGGTTTTTTAATGAAAACTAAAACTAATGCCTAAAACAGAAAAATAAGAAGTTAAAAGAAATATTTGAGACAATATTGAAATGAAATGAAAATATTTTTTATTATTCTGGTTCTGTTGTTCCTTTAGAATAAATTGTAAATGTCCATGTGGCCATAGATAAACTAAATATTTACAAAATAATAGCTAATCAAAAATAAAAATACAGAAAGAGAGTGTGTGTGTGAGACAGAGAGAGAAACTATCCTCTATGACTTGATAATCTAAGGCACTTATGTTGCCCTAAATTGGATTCCGAGTCATTGCAGGACTCAAATGAAAAGACTGATAGTTCTGCCAGGTGAGGAGCAGAATTGTCTCAGCTTGTCCATCCAAAATCTGTATGGCATGACTCAATTTGGTAAATGGTAAGTATAGTAGTGAAAGAGGAAACAAGACAAATACACATATACAAGGTGGAAGGGAAACGTTGCAAGTGTTTGACATAAAACCCGATCCCAGCTGGAATACCAAGAAGAGAAAGAAGTGGTAGCCTGCTTCTACATAACAATTGGCCATGACTACCTCCAGAGTCATTTCCACAAGATAGGCATGGCTGAGGATCCTAGATGTGTACTATATAACCAAGAGGAAATGGATGGGGACCATCTAGACACATGGCTTTGATGGACTTAAAAAAAAAGATTTTTGTTAATGAATATATGAAAAAATCTAATTTCTACTGAGCAACAAGATATCGCACGGTTGATTGACTTATGACTTTTACATAAGAGACAAAAATAAACCAAATAATAATAAATTAAATGAAATAATAAATATCAAAAGAACTAGTTCATAGATATAATTTACCTCTATGGGAAAGATTCAATGATATATATTTAATAAAACCTATCCCTTTAGCATAAATATAAAACCTGATGAGGAAAATAAATCTATTTATTAAAATAAATTTATTTTGAGAGTACTCAAAATAAACAATATTAAATTTAATGTAACAAAAACATAGGAGTAATGAGGGTTTACAAACAATAAAAGTCAGTCAACTTAATAATATAGTTCTTGAATTTATTTCTTTGGCACTTTGTAGATTATTGAGGTAATCAATCATGTATATATATATTTATAAATCTTAACATGATTTTGTTCTATTATTGTACTATAATGTATTCACATTATATTTCAAAATAAAGAATAGAGAATTAATTAAAATAACAAAATTCAATAATTGGAAGCTTAGAAGGAAGACAAAAATAAACTAACAAAACATTAACAATAAGAATAAGATAACAAGAAATAAACAATAACAGAGGAAAAAGCTATTTAAACAAGAAAATAATTTAATTGAACAGAGCAATATCACTGAGCAAGGTCTAAGTACAAAAAAAGTACTGCAATGATAAACATTAATTGAAATGTATTAATTATAATCAATAACTAAAAATAATAACATAAGTTTACAATAAAAAAAACATGAAAATAATAATTATATGTGAATAAGTTAATAAAAGGCTTTGAGCTTACAAAAAAAAAATGTTGGTCCATGTTATAAACAGTTTTTGGTAAGTTTAAATTTCAATTCAAATATTTTTTTTTTTTGACTAGTCACCATAATTCACTAACAGGTTATTATTAGAAATAACTTAATCATATTTATGTAATATTATATCATATTTATCAATGAATAATCAGACAAACATTGTAAAATAGTGTTTATACTAAGTTCTATATTTCTAATTCTAATTTTGATTTCCTCTATATTTGCTTTTTATGTTTTAAACATACTTATTAAAGGTGTAATGGTCCGAAAAACAGTAAGACACTTATAAATACCTACTAATATAGTTTTTATCTGAATTAAGACATTATTTTTAATATGTTAAAAGTTAAAGTAAGTTAATTTACGGTATGAAATTTTAAAAATATATTTAATTTATAAAGCAGAATATTCAATAATCTTAATAAGTTAATTTTGTTTATGTCTATTTTTATAGTTGCCATTTTATTTATTAGAATAAGAGATAATTAAAAATATATATATATATCCCTCACAACACCATGTGATTCAGCTAGCAAATATTTTAAGTACAAGTAAATGTCAAAGATAATCTATTTTCTAGTCACTTAAATAATTATATGTAACTTTCAACATTTTTGACAACTCAAATAAATTAAGATAAAAAAGAACATGATCAATACAATCTATTGAAAACACAAGGGACAAATGTAAAGCTATATAGAAATGTGTTCCAGAAACTACAATAGAAGTCCTGGCTGAATGACAATAGAGAAAGAGTACCATACAGTAGTTAAAATTAAAAGTTTAATGTTATAAATAAAAAAATTAAGCGACCAAGTTCCAGAAATCAAGCGAAAGTCTCAATTGGGAAGTTAGAGGGAATAATGACAGCAGAGACTGAGCTTGTTCTAGGATCAATTTATGATGGAAGCAAAAGAAAATAATAATGTTAGATAATCTAGAAGGATTTACAAAAAAACTGTTGTCAAGGAGACGAAATACCAGATGACCTAAATAAGAGATTTCTATTGTTGTATTTAAATAAGAGGGCAAAACAAACTTCTAGAATAAAAGGACTATTTTTAAGAAGAGCTCACTTTTGAAGTTAGAAGGATGAATAGTAAAGCATCAACACGAAGCAGAATAAACAAAAAATACAAGAACTGCGGAGGAGTATTAGACCACAATTAATAACAATGCTTTATGAACAACGATTGGGACAAGCAGTCTGGAATCCAATTGCCAAAACGTTTCCACTTACAGAAGTACTTAATTAAGGACTACTTGTGCTCCAGCCAATTTACAATTTTCTTGTAGGTGTTCTAATGTAATGGCATAAATATCTATGGCTATTGATAAAGCTGTTTTCCTTCCCTATTATCTACAAATGACCAGTTGGCCCTAAAATTCATTGCACCAGACAAAACGAAGGAATGAAGATGGAGATTTAGACCAATATTCCACTCATTTAAATTCTATAGACATAGAAGAGAAAATGATAAGAAAAAATATAGGCCCAAAAGATAAGAAGGGTAAAGAAATTGAGTTGAGTGCATTGGCTTAAGACAGCCCACTCTTCTTTGGAAGGGTACATATTCTCAAATAAAACCAGAGGACAGTTATGTTACAGGCACTAGCGCCACCATACAACACTTAAGTGATTTAGTTTACATAACTTCGTTTGTAAGATAAAGAATAACTACAATGAGTCTTCTCTATTCTGAGACAGGTCTGATACTAAAAACTGAAAATACACTAATGACTAAAGGATGCCAGTACAGGATATTTCTGAATAAAAGACATTGGAAAGGCTAAAATACCACTGTTGTACTGCTATAGAAAGAAGTAAGTACATACAATGAAAAAATGGATTTATAACCATTACTCAAATTGAATACTACCTATAATACTTACTTATATAATAATATTTAATTTATTAACTATTATTTTACTTCAAACAGCAATCTAATAAAAATTATACATGAAGGTTATATTCTTAAAAAAATAAAGTAATAAGCTTCAGTTCATCTGCCCCACTATCTTCATTTTAAATAAATGTTAGCTTGTCATTTAGTGATAAAATATTTAAATGAATTTTAATTGAAAAGGTCATTATTAACCAACAAAGCCTGTGAACTATGAATAATTGTGACGAAAATTTATTTGTGAGGTTTATCCATTCTAAATATCAGTTAGACCTTGCTCAGAAACA